AATAGTGCTTTTGTACTATTCACTGTAGCAAAGGACAAGCCTTCCTCTTAAGGCTTGACACACACTCTAAACCTACCATTTTGCATTAAATGTTCATTTAATGCACTGGGTATAAATAGAAGTGTTTCTTCTCCATACAGAGTGCGCACATCTCTCTGTTATCCTATTCTTACTTCAAGCATCTTCTAGCTTAAGTAAAGGATCTTCCTTTTATCAATCTCTTTTCTTGTATTTGCTAAAGATCTGTGTGTATCCAAAGATTGTTTAGATAGGTTTTCTTTACCTTATCTTTCCGCAAACAATCTTGTAAAATCTGTATTGATCTTCTCTATCAATATATATTTTTAATTTGAAAATACTGTGTTTGTATTCATCCCCCCCCCCTTCTACAAACTGTTTCTATTCTTGTAGACCCTTACGGGACCAACATCTTCTTATAGGCGAATGATCATCTGAGAAGGAGAAGCATAAGAAGAGATATGGACCCGTGATCACCTTTAAATCTCAAACTCAGCTCGGTGCATCTCATCATAATGTGCATCCATGGGTGGAGATCCCTACTTACACCCCTTAACTTAACTCTTCTTATTATTAGGAACCCAACTCTCTTCTTATATACATTTTTTTACTTGTCCTATTTCTTTTAGATAGAAAACATGGAAAGCTGAAAGTGTTTGATCAAACAATTACGCATGATGTTATGATTTTGTTCACATTTGAATATTTGATTCTTCATAAAGCAAAATTCTAGAAACATATGAGATTTAATCATATGGACCATTTTAGATCGAGTACAGTATTCAACACATTTGAATTAAAATACCTCATGTAAACAAGAAAAAAAAACCCGACTCCCCATTAGGGATAGGGATGAGTATGTAATTATATCTCCAAGGAGGACGGGGACAAAGATTGGGGTCAGGGATGGGGTTTAAGGTCCTCGTTCCATATGAAATATAATTTGTCTAATGAATTAGAATTAGTTTGTTTGGTTTGCAACAGAATTGTAATGGAATGATGAAGGGACAAAAATACCCTTTCTTTGAGGTAAAAATCGGAACATCGCAACATCCCTTTTTTCCTTCTTCTTCCCCCATCATAACACAGTCTAGATCATAAACCCACATCTACATCAAGAACAAAAATGGAGAAGGAAGAAGTCGATCTAAATATAGTGGCAAAATCTTAAGGAGTTGACGGATGAACCAGTCCAAATTGTAACCCTCATCTTCGATCGATGAAGACAGTCCAGATGAAGAAAGTTGATGAAGCAGTAACTGTCCATAGGAAGCAGAAACAGTAACAAAATCGATGAAGCAGAACAGTCCAGTCCAGAGGAAGAAGTCGATTGATGGAGAAACATAAGGAACAAATTGTACAATGAGAGATGGAGAAAAAATTACTTGCAGCTCGATCGATGAGGAAGAAATCGGTGTTCGTTCAATGAAGAAGGAAAGAGTAGTGCTATAGTTTATAGATGCAACGAGGACATTTTTGTCATTTTTAATTGGATTTCAATTCCATCTGTTTTGTAAGGGAATGGTGAAATTCATAAACGAAGGAATCTTTGAAATTCAATTCCATTCAATGGGTAACCAAACATAGGGATGGAATTTGGTCAACAGAATTGACCATTTCAATTCTATTAGATTCCAACGAACCAAGCAGCCCCTTATAGTTAGCTGTTAGTTGAAATCTTATACATAAATTAAGAAAAAAAAATCTGACAAACTTTCTTATTTTAAATGGTTTAATTTATAAACTTTTCTTTTGAATTATTAAACTTTTTCATTTTGAATGCTTAATTCCTAAACTATTATTTTGAATAAAAAAACATTAAACTTTCTATTTTTGAATGAAAAACCGTTAAAACTTTTTCAAATATTTTTTTAATAAATAAACCATCACACTTTTAAAAATTGGTTACTTACATCCTTTTAACCTAAAAAAAAAGTTACATTAACCGACTCGTAGAAGTTTATTATGTTTTTTTTTTCAAATTAGAGTTTTAATCATTCAAAATGTGAAAGTTTAATGGTTTTTTATTAAAAAAATAATTCAAAGATTTAATCGCTCAAATGAGAAAGTTTAATAGTTTTTCTATTTAAAAGAATAATTTAGAAACTAAATCATTTGAAATGAGAAAGTTTTTTTTAACTTTTCTCATAAATTAATTATGTTTGATAAATTAGTCGACAAATTTAAAATGGTAAAAAATGACATTAAAATATTACTAAATTTTAATATCTACATAATATAATAGTCAAAACAAATCACTAATACATATCATCATAAGTAGGTTATAAAGTAGAGAGTTTTTCAACTATTTAGGTTTGATGAACTTTTCCTGCGTTCCATATCATATTTACACTTAATTCGAGTTTTGATTAACCGATCGGTTACACTCGATTTGGGTTTTGGTTGGACTAACCGGTTACACAATCGATTATAAATTGGGTCCGGTTTAAATTAACTTGAAGCAGATCCTAAGAGCACTCCAACAAGTACCCAAAATAAATTCATTGTGCACGGATTGTGTAATTATTACACTTTTTAAACAACTAAACGAGAATATATCCATGATCCAAACTTAAAAAAGGAACACCTTTTTTTTGGCAATTAAAGGAACTATATTTGATCACCTACTTAAAAATGACAAGGTGAAAGAGTTAAAAATAATAAACACCTTTTCAAGCCTCAAATTCCATATCTACTACTTGAACAGATAATAACCAGAGGCTGAACTTAAAATCTATATGCTCCAATTAAGAAAAAAACAGTCTTCCATTTGTAATATTTGCAAAAGATCCAAGCCGCGGATTCTGTCAATCGTCAACGATACGAGTGTCTATAATCTTTTACCAACACCCTAACGGAAAAAACACTGTGTTACGCGGTCACCTTCAATGGAACAATGACTTCTTCATCTGACTTGTGTATTGAAGGTAACGGTTTCTCGGGTTTGCTTTTCAAGAAACCCCTCGCATAAAGAGATCCGAAGACAATGACCTGCAGAAAGATGTTTGGAGACTTGTTTTGAGATTATTGAACGGAAAGAGAAACTACAGCAAAAATCGGGTTTATTGGCCGCCATATGCCTTAATAGACTGTTTTATAAGAGTAGAGGCTGTTTGGTTGGTTTCTATTTAAGTCATTTCTGGATAAAGCTGATTGTGTGGATTAATCCGTCTATATAGATTGGAAAGGTTCTTCGTAGATGGAAGGTGCCTGTTTTTTAATTGGGAGGGGAAAGTTCAGAAATTTTTTGGCTTTCTGCATAAAGCTCCACCCTACGAGATTACTGAATAAGCCACTTTCTATGTCACTAAGCCACTTTCTATATCACTAAACCTGTTTTTATATCACTTTTTCTAATCTCATATAAAAAGACTAATAGGAGGTTTATTTCAAAATTGGACTAAAAAATTGCTAGAACATTCAAAAGCATCCTATCAACTTATTATAACACTTTAACATAAGGCGCACAATTATTTGAACTATAAACTTAAATCTTATAAAACAGTTTATCAGTTTGATCGTCATATGAACTTGATTTCGTTGTAGTGAGAGATAGAGAGAGTATGTAAATCGATGCTTACAGCTCCAATGAATTGTTCCACGCTAAGGGGATGACCAAACCAAACGCACGATAGCAGGATGCTCACTAACTAGAAAATTCAAAATGAAGTTTTAGAAAAGAACATGATGTAATCAAGAGCTGGAGTTCATTTGAGAACAATAAATATTTTGAGGAGTGTGAGAACCAATGAATATTATGAATACTCATTGGTTCATAATTCATAATGAATATTCATCATGAATATTCATGACGAATATCAAGAATATTCAAGATATTCATTGGTACGCATGGTTCTCAAATGAACATGCCCCAGAAGGGGAAATAATCAAAAGTTCAGTTTACTTGTCTAGTGGTCATTATCGTGGCAAATGTAAGAGCTCCGAATGTGCGAATTGTGTACGATATGAAGAATTGACTGGCTGTTGCAACCTGCAATCGAACAAATAAGATATTGTGAGATGAACAAAACCAATACCACAAGAAATTTCCACATGTTGACTTCAGAAATCAAACCTAATGCTTTTAGAATTCGAATCTGTTACGGGTTTTTTGTTAATTTGAAACACCAACACAGAAGTTTCATTACAAGTTGCAAAGATGGTCTTTAAAATCCGAAATTTCTACTGTTACAAGACAGCAAAGATGACTTACAGTTGAAAGCAATGCAATGTCAAAGAAACAATCTTTGTGACGAGAAACAAAATCTATCGCCATGAGAAGATTGCCCTGCAAGATTAGACCTAACAAGAGAAGAAAAAATAATTTGAAATGATGTCGTAAACAACACAATTAATTCCCGAAAAAGAACAATCCAAACGTAAAAACACGTTAGGCAGGCATTGGGCTACAGTCTTTTTCTTATTTCTTTTTCAAGTAATCTTCAATTATTTTATGCTTGTTATTCAAGAGTTCATGATTCTCTAGTTATATAGTTTACTTGCCTAATTTAAAGCTCCCAAAATGACCGTTATCTCGTCCAGACTAAGGATAGAAGCCAGATCAAGTGACAACGTTGTTTTCATTTAAATTTTTTTTTCATAAACACTTCCATTTTAAACTTTTTTATAAAGTTTCATTTACCAAACGATCCAATGTATCCCACCTAGAGTGGGGTACGGGGAGAATAAGATGCACGCAGACCTAACTTCTACCCGAAAGAGTAGAGCGGCTATTTCCTTGATGTATGTGTGTATTAGGGCCCATTTGGTTTGACGTGGAAGGATTTGAAATCTTTGGTTTGTGGGATTTGGAACGGCATGGAATTGAATTCTATTCTTTATAAATAATTTATATTAATCAAACTATTAAAATAAATAAATCACCTTTCTATTAATTGATTATTACAAAACAAGTGTTTTTAAGAATATTGTAGAACATCATTACAAACAAATCCCACGAAATAGCAACTACTCCCATGGGATTTTTAAATCTCATATTTGTGGGATTTGAATTCCGGACTTTCCTTTAAACCAAACACGGGATTGGAATGGAATCCAATTCCAAACCCCGTGATGGAATGGTTTTTGAGGGATTTGGATCCCATGGGATTTCAATGAAATCCCGGGATTTCAAATCCATGAAATCCTTCAAACCCAACATCAACATGGGAGTGGATCGGAATTCAATTACAAATCCTTCCGAATCCATTTCAATCCTACAAACCAAACGGGACCACTGTTTCCTATTTTGACAGCATAAAGTAAATATCGAGTGTGCATATGCTATTTTTACAACTTTCAGACCTGAGTAATCAGTTTCCAGTAAAAGATACTTACCAGTCAAGCTGAGTATGCAAGAACAGAGAGTAGTGTAGAAAATCTGATTGTAAATTCCCATATCATATCCTTTAAATAATTTATCCTGAAATGTGCTAGTGAAACCATCAAATCTGAAAAATAAGAACAAGAAGTCAATGTATAGTTGGCCCAATCGATCCTAATGTTACCCGAAGACTAATATGTTATGCAAAGATAACGACAAATATTATAATACAAAACCTACACAAGGGAAAACGGATGACTTCAGGTCATAAAAACTAGGAAATGCAGAAAGGTCCAGTTTTTAATCACGAGTGATTTTAGAATACTATTATTAGTTATTTATCCTTACCCTCTTTAGCACCGACCAAGATTTTAGGAATATTTTTGCACCCACAACTTCTATGTTGTAATGTTGGTTTAGAATTTCATGTAACTTTAGATTTTACAAAACAATTAAAGTTTTGCTAGTCTTTTAGGATGAGAAATTCTTTGATCAACCCTTCAAACTAGAGATGCACAAGGTCCAGGCTTTTTCAGGCCTGGGCTCGAGCCTTCCAAACCCATTTTCAGTGGGTGAAAAAAGGCCCAGGCTTTTTTAGGCCCAAGGGCGGAGCTTCTGGGGTTTGAAAAAGGGTCCTCTAACGGGCTTTTTCAGGCTTAACCGGGCTTTTTCAAGCCAGGCCTGGCCTAGAACGGGCTTTGGCTCACTAGGCCCAAGCTTTTTCAGGCCAAACCTAGGCAGGCTTCGGGTTTGGCTTTTTGTGAATCTCTAATTCAAGCCATGACCATGTTTGGCAATCATAAGCTAGCTTATGTTTTTAGGCTTATTGAAAAGCCCATTTGCTTATCAATAAGCTAGCTTTTTAAAAGGCTACTTCAAGTAGAGTTTCAAGGCTTTTTTCCAATTATGCCCCTTGTATTTTTCCCATTAATTTTTCAACATGTCATTTGAGGTCATTTTACATTATCATCTAGCTTATAAGCTAGTTTGCCTTGCATAGCCTATATCTTCATTCCTATCCCTTTCTCGTACGTCAACCTTGATTTTCACACTTAAAAAAATATAATACTCGATTGCATAATATAACTCAAGGACCCGTTAACTAGTTGGGAGTAACGTTAAAATACCCTAGATAACCAATCATCAAGGAGACACCCCACACCGTACTCTCCCTTCCATTGCGATAAGGAGTTAACTCCGTTGCCCCCTACGGTTGGAAACAAAAGAATTCATTAGCATACATTCTCCAAGATTTCCAAAAATGGCAAAGCAGAAGGGGCAAGTTCAATTACAATTAGGGCTGTAAACGAAACGAACAAACACGAACGGAGGCTTGTTCATGTTCGTTCGTTTAACTTAACCGAACAAACGAACGAACGAACACGAACGGTAAACGAACGGAAATCTTTGTGTTCGTGTTCGTTCGTTTAAAAATAAGGTGTGTTCGTGTTCGTTTATGTTCGTTTGTTAACATGCTAAACGAACGTAAGCGAACGAACATAAACGAACAGGCTAGACGAACAAGTTAAACGAACATAAATAAATATTATTTGATTTCAAAGTAAATAAATAAAAGATTATATATTAAATTTAATATATAAACAAACATAAACGAATGAATATAAACGAACATAAACAAACGGTAATGAACGAACGTTCACGAACATAAATGAACGAACGAGACTCTTGTTCATGTTCGTTCGTTTAACTAACGAACAAAAAAATTTGTTCATGTTCGTTCGTTTAACTAACGAACAAAAAAATTTGTTCACGAACTTCCCGCCGAACGGTTCGCTGAACGTTCGGTTCGTTTTCAGCCCTAATTACAATTCTAGGATTAAAGATCAATCTCGATAAAAAAACATCATCGTTCATCACTATGTGCTAAAATACTATATTTTCTATCAAAAACGTTTACGGAGTTTATAACAGAATGTGAAGTGAAATTATACTGATTGCAGAGGGGTAAGGGCGTAATATTTACCGGAAATAGAATAAATAATGAACACCCAAGGGTAACTAGTAAAGCCAGCAAATAGTCTGGCCCCTTGTACTTCTTTTGCATAATTAGGGTGCCCCAAATCTGCACTAAAAAAATTCATGTAAGAAATCACTTTGGTAAAAACTAATCTCTGAGAAATCATAAAGGTTAGGCCTTAGGGCCACTGGGGATTTTCCTGGCTGTTATTCTCCGGACCACAGATGCACAAGTCCTGATCTTTTTTGGGCCTGGGCCCGGGCCTCCCAAGCCCGATTTCAGTGAGCAAAAAGGATCACGGACTTTTTCAGGCTTTTGAAAGAAACTTGATCTGATCAGGCTTTTAGGACTGGCATAAGTCTGGGCTTTGAGCTTGCTAGAACCGGGCTTCAATCTGCGGGCTGTTTTGTGCATATCTATTTCGGACCCCATGGGATTATTCGACATGTGTACAAGCTAGCCAAAACACCCACGGTTACCAAAAAGAAGATAAGAATTAAAGAAAAGGAGACCAACGGAACCCATATGAACCATCCATCTATTTTAATCCAACGATTGTGAATAATAGCACGGTTACATTCTGCCAAAACCAAGTCCACGATTACAGATGAGGCTAGATTTTTTAGATCCAGCGGTTGATAGGGGTCCCTTGTTCTTTTCTTTCAAGTTCTCTCTTGAACCCCCGCTGGTCATCTACTCATCTGTAAAATATTTTCTTTTCTTTCGGAGGGTAATATTAATAACAACTATCAAACTTACCATTACTGGTATCATTTTGGCACACTTAGCCAGGGTCTGAACAGGAAAGCTAACATATTTAAGAGCCTGAAGATATGAAGATAAGACAAGAATATTAATATGCAGAATATTTTAGACATACAAAGCAAAAAAAAAAAAAAGAATTGTTGGTGATCGAAGTAGAAATACGATTGAGAAGAACATCTGACCTCATATTGACATGTTGTAGTTAGTATGTTAGATATTGATACAACACCGTACTTGTAAATGGGAGCAACAGGATCCAAGGCTTTTTTACTCGTCTGCCAATAGAAATAAATAATAGATCTTTTGTGATATTGATTTTGTGCTAATCTCTACTGATCAAATAATTGAATAACGAAACATCCCTTACCAGTAAAAAAACAGCAGATACTGCAGAGGTGGTAATACGGTTACAGAAAACAAGAAATAACGAATGTTTGAAGAATTCGTGGTTTGGGCCATAAGGAACTCTCATAATCTTCTCCTGCAGGTTAAAAGAAATTCATCATTTTTATTCACGAATAGACATAGACACGCAAGGGGTAAACCATCATCTTTTCAAAAGAATAATTGGTAACCGTGGGTGTCTGGGCCAGCTTGTGCACACCTTGACTATTCCCATGGGGCCCTGAAGATAACTATCAGAAAAATCCCCAGTGGTCCTGAAGAGACTTGAACTAACAACCAATGGGAAGGAGCCCAGGGTCTAGCCTCTATTTGCTAGTTGAGTTGGCCCTCTTTTCGATTCTATAGAACTATGTTACAGACACATGGTTAAACAAATAAAACGATGGCTAACAAAAGGGATATGAGGCAAACATCCTTATATAATTGATTTCAATAGTTGTTTTACTCATGTTTTGCCATCACGTAAAAAGAGGTTATGAACCTCGATGTTCCCTAAAACTGTAGAAACATGAACATCAACGCACTGCAATCTACTCTCAACATAAGGTATCAGCAGCCAATAAAGTATATACACGTTTCGATCTTGTAGTAATTGAAAATTGTATGTCACTGGATGAATGCTATGAAGTAGACTCTTTGAATGCATTAAACTTTTGAGTGACATCCGATACTTGGAAAACGCCATAAAGTTGGATACTTAGGTCTCAGAATTCATAGACATATGTGACTTATTCTTTCAAAAAAGGCACCTCTTATAAATGAAAATTTGAGTCATATACAAGATAGAAGGAGAAAACAGACCCCTGCTAAAGAAAATGAAAAGTACAACAAATGCTAGAAATTGAAGAAACTCATAAATGAATTGGTCGGATACACCAGTGAACTACTTGTATTTTTTAGCTAATAAAAACCTGTTTCATAGCCTTTTCCAAACAGACGAGAGTGAGGAACTAGACGAGATTGGACAGGACTGAGCACAGGTGATAGTGAGGCAGGCAGTGAAAGTGAAAGAATTCTCGAAGGGTCTAGAGTTTTAATTTGTCCCATCTTCCTCATTTTAATAAAAACGCATTTTTGTCCCATTAATGTTGTCCCAGTCTAATATTACGCCAAATGTGGGACAAGTTTTTATACTGTCATGTCCCATCTTGTCCCGCGTACCAAACGCACCCTTAAAGCTACTAGAGGTTTTCTTTGAGCTCCTCCTTCAAGTATAACTACTTAGTGAAGCCAGTTTGGTTGAATACATGTTAGAAAACAGTTACGGGAAGGTGATCATGATGCGGGGAATCTCTACAAATAAATAAAAGATCATCGAAATCAAATGGGTAGTCCGAAGTCACTATATGGAAAAAAGATCACCCACACTTGGCTTGTTTCTTGAATCACAAATCATATTTCAGAAGACTAAAAATTTGTGACCCTCTTACTTAAAGTCACCTCATATTATGAGCTATTAAGCAATAGAATGTCCACATCCAACTTGATCACCACAGTATATAGCAAAAAAGAGCATTGATCCCAGCCAAAAGAGTCCAAGAGGACAGTAAAGAACTCCATAAATCAAGAGAAGCTTCCAGAGACCACCAAAAAAACAAAAAACAAGAGGGATGGAACATCAAAAACTTCTAGAAAGCAACAAGGATTCTATGCTGTTCTATATCCATGTTTTTAAAGCAAAAACATCCGGTATTTAAGAGTGGTATCCAGCTGGTAATTCTTCTAGTCGTCATGCTATAAGATACTAAACATTCAACAATTCCAATTGATTGAGCAATGTGTATGTTTAGTTTATTGTTTTCTTAGTTTCATTAGGAATCCAATTCAAATAGCTTGGCCAACCACATTGGGACATAGATAGCATTTTCATAGCATAACTATAAACTCTGCTTCATTTTACAGTTTGTACACCATTTTCTCTAAAACAACTGACTAAGAGCTTCAACCATTCCCCCTCGGGTGTGTAGCTCAGTTGGCAAAGGGGCGGAGTGACTTTGCTCAAATACACAACAAGTTGAAGTTCAGACGAACCCCTCCGCTAACTTTGGCCGTTGTGTTAGCTCTGAAATGCCTCCTGGGGGAAGGTTCTATATGGTGCCGTTGCCGGTAATCAACTTTTTGCAAAAAAAGGGGGTTCATCAATTCAGAATTCTAGTTCATTTGGAGTTCTATAAGATGCAAAAAGAACTACAAAGAAAAATAAAGTAAACTAAATTACAATTATAAAAGAAAGATGCCAAGAAATCCAGAATCCTTCCACCTACACCCACTCCCCTTGAAAAAAGAAACTACTTTCCTTCAAGACATTATCAAATGAAATAAAACCCCCTTTTGCACCTTCAAATGCAGCCAATGCAAGCCATTTTCTTGCAGCTATTACATACAAAAATCAAAAACCCCTATTCAAAATCCTAAATATCAAAAGTTAGTCAGCGAATCAATGTCTGTATGTTCAGATGCTTTTACTTGAAACTAAACAAAATCAATCTCTAAGCTTCACCAACTCGATTCAATTTACAACAAATCCCCCAAATAACACAAATCATGTAATATTGGTTAAAATAAAATTACCTGTAAGACGCCATAAATAACGAGAGTAGACATAATTCCGACAACGGCGAAGGTACCCTTTAAGAACTTGTTCTCCTTCGCATCCACCGACGGTGGGTCAGTCATACTACCGTCGATTTACAAAAACCTCCACCACCGCCGCTCTTTGAGTGCAGTATTTATCTATATCTATGACCAATTCAAATAGAGAAAAAGATTCTTTTGATAAACCCTAAAGATCAGTCAAAAAGCACAAGCATCAAATGAAGTACAACGTGGCGTAAGGGTTTATATAGACTCATGACGAGATCACCGATGAGAGCGTTTTCTCCGGCGATATTCTCTCCTTGTTTTCACCGGCGATTTTCTATTCGCCTTTTAAATTTTAGTTGTGTGGGAAAGCTGACTCCTTTTTTCTGTAAAATGATGGCAGGCACGCCTTTCCGTCAGTCTTACGCCTATTTAATTCATATTTGGTAGTAGACGTGTTTGAGATTGATTATGAAAATAAATTAGTTATATGACATCGATGATAAGTATTTTTAAGTTTTTGGATGAATAATTTATGTTAGTGTCAAATCGATAATAAGGAGTTTTTAAAGAAGTTAATTTTTTTTAACTAATAATAAGTTGATAAGGGCTTTTATAGAAAATCATAATATGTTTCAAATAAGCAATCCCAAACACCCCCTTACTACAAATTTGGTCCAAGTGGTTTATTAAAAATAAAGATATATATTTTTCGTTTTTACAAATTATAAAACAGTTATCGTAGTTTTAAAAAACGACCAGATTTGATCTCTTTAAAATTTTCCGATAAGCAAGTTGTTTTTTTATGTTTTTTAGCCAATCAAAAAACCACAGGAACCAACATCATAAAATTGATTTTGATTGAGTGGAAGATAGAAAAAATCGTAAATGTCACTCATTTAACGGAATTTCTAGCTGTTGTTAGAGGAGGAATCAGATCCCGACATTTTACAAAAGGCCATAATGACAATTTTGTAATTTCGAAACTGAAAGAACAAATGTTGTTTATGACAAACCACAGGGACCAAGCTTGTAGTTTACTCTTATTAGAACAAATAAAACAAAAATCTAATTTTTTTGGTATAATTATCCAAATAACTTATGGTATAATAAATGCATTTACGGGTCGATACCGGAATTTCTTGGTTTGTCGTTTGGATCGGAATTCGAATAAGTTTGAACGAGAAAACGAATCAAATTCACATAATTTGTACTAAATACCTTCAATCGAGTTATCTAATATTTGAAAAGAAATAATAATTTTAGCGGGATTATATTGAACGGAACATGTGAACAAGTATTATTCATATAGTGTTATTTTATAAATAAAACGTCAATAAACTCATTGTGTGTGGAAAAACCCCACAAAGATATATGTTTATACACGAAACACACACTCATATGCATACACGAAAACAAAGACATGTGAAACAATACGAATCATAACTTTAAATCAAACTCATTAAATATGCTTGTTTTATTTTCACGAGTTCAGTTTTCCCATATGAACTATGGCGTTTCATCTATGAAACTGGTTTTCACAGATGATATTTCATCTATAAAATAATATATGAAATTGGTTTTCATGATTTCTAACTTTTAAGCAGTTTATATATGATTTACGATATTTTAAATTTGAATCCAAATATTTAAAAGTAAAAGATTTATATTTTCAAACTAAAAAACAAGTTGTTTTCGTACATTCCTTGGTGGATGATATTTTCTGCCACAATAACAGTCGAAATAAATGATACACATTTAAACCATGTATGTATGTTTTTGATATAGTTTAGGTACTCATAAATATGATAAAAATGTTAGAACAAATATTTTTTTTAAGGAAATTAATTAAAATGCCTATTTTTATCGACTGGTTTTAGTTCTTAATAATTTTTTAACAAGGTTTATCAAAATAGCCTAAGGTCTGCAATATTAAATATTTCCGGACCAGGTAAAAAATGAAATTTTTTATGGACTTGGGTGAAAAATGTAAATTTTTTTGCAGACAAAGATAGAAAGTGTAAAAACATTTGTTTTTTAGCCGGGTCCACAATTACAAACATGAGTTTTAAAACTTATAGCTATTTTAACAAACTTTGAGAGAATATGACTAAAATATAAAAACAACCTTAAAAATTGGTTATTTTAATAAATCTTCCCTTTTTTTTATTAGTAGATATAAAATTTAATTTAAAAATATTAGAAAGTGCTACATTAAGTGTACATCTAGACATAACATATTGTATTTGATATGTATATTCCATTTATAATGACACATTAATAATAAAACACACACACACATATGAAGTTATTAGTAAATGTATATTGGAATACTGAGTTGGGTTCATGTGACACCAACCTATTTTTTGCGAGATCCATAAGACTATATCTTTACACTTGAAACTTCACAAACAAAACACCATGAAGGTAAAATAAATTGAATCTTCACATAAAGAACATTGTGAATGTTACATTCACAATGTTTTGCTGTAAAATTTCAAGTATAAAAAAGTGGTCTCATAGGTCTCACAAAAACAACTTATTTTCTTGTGATCACGAGTCTTGGAATGCTTATACAAATCTAATGATAGCAAATGAACTAAAAACACATTAGACACAAGGTTCAAAAAGACGTGTGACGTGATGATGAGATCAAGCTTTAAGCCTTATATGTGTCTTGCGTCATATCGTGTCATGACGCACGCCATGGCACGCCTTTTTGAACACTGACATTAACATCTAATAGTTGTACTACAAAAGTTTATTTTGTTATAATATTTTGGAAGTTGTGTAATACAGTAATAACAGGTAACATAAAATTATAAATACTTAAAAGATTTTATAATGTTATTTTCTAAAAAGATCTTTAATATTATGTAACATACTTGGAGACATTGCAAGTCTTAAAATAAATGGTTTGTCGAAAAAACCATTTTTTGTTTTTATATATTCAAAATTATAAGAAGCATTGTTTGAAAAACGCTCAGAATTAGTCCCTATCTCTAACGACAGTTCAAATACTCCGTTAAATGGGAGATATTTTTGTCTTTTTGTTAAAAAATTTGTCTTTTATCCAATCAAAATCAATTATATGATTCTCGTACCTGTGGGTTTTTCATTGGGTAAAAGACAAAAATATAATAGAAGGATGAATTTGTTCTTCATTTAACAGAATTTTGTAACAACCATTAAAGAGAAGACCAAACCTGAACGTTTTGATAAATCACAAGTACCAAATTTGTAGTTTACTCTAAAAAAACAAAACCATATATAAATAAATCTTAAGCTTATTGGGTTAGGAATCAGAGTAGGAGATGTTGGGTTGGGCTTTAGAAAGTCCACCTGATTTCTTGGTCAAACGTTTACTGGATAAGTATTTACCGGTAAAATTCAATATTATCATTTACTTATCAATTAAGATATTATTCCACCAAAAATGTATCATATGCAAAATTTTACCCGATAAGCGCTAACCATGGTAAGAGTCATCGTCATCACTTACCGGATAAGATTATGGGAAAAGTATAATAAAAACCAATGAACTTTCTTGTTTAGAATGATTAAGTCCTTGAACTTTTTTTTGGAACAAATAAGTCATTGGACATTCCAAAACATGTTAAATAAGTCATTGGACAATTTTTTAGAACAAATAAGTCCTTGAACATTCCAAAATATGTTAAATAAGTCCTTGGACATTTCAAAAAATGTCAAATAAGTCATTGGACAATTTTTGGAACAAATAAGTCATTGAACAATCCAAAACATGTTAAATAACTTCTTGAACTTT